CAGCAGTTCACAAAATAGAGTACTAAGAGAAATGTCAGTTTTATAAGGGTTTTAGAAAGAATTTCAGGAACTTCTATGTAGAAAATAACTTTCCTTAAAGATGACCCATCAACTAAATGCCCAGCAAAGAAGGCCAAGAACTAGTATCACCATTTTTAGACAAAGCAAGTTAAGGCAAACCAAGGTGGGTTAAGAGAGATTTTTGCCCTGAGTCATATAAACTAACATTAACAGCAGACACTAAAACAAATTCACAATTCCCTCCATTGGGTCTGTCACTTGAGACAGCATTTCCTCTCTCTCAAGTATTCTGAAAGATAATTATCAGGATAACAAGGATAAATTCTCCAAAGTATGCTCTTATGCTGAGCATGCAAAATGGGTAGCTCTGCATGCAACTGTAAATTGTACAATTGAAGCCTAAAAAAAAATGCTTGTGAATTTACCTCATCTGTTAACTCAATTTACACATCAATATTTTAGAACTGTGGAAATCCTTATTATTACAATTATTTCTAGTTGCCTCATGAAAATAGGCAGGCCACCTTAGTCACCAAACTTTAAAAGGAAAATAGTCATGAATTTCAGTAATTTTCCCCCAACCATCTATCCACTATCTAATGGAGTATAACCTAGGATATCCACTCCAACACACACACACTCTCTCTGTCTCTCTCTCTCTCATTCTCACACACACACTCCACCCCCTAGACACTGACCTATCTATTTGGCTATGTTCCTACAAAAAACTGGGGATTTCAAAATGTAAAAGAACAAGAGTCTTTGCCTTTTTCTTTACAGTTCTTTCCACAGCATATACATATTTCCTATCATTCAATATCCTTCTTTGACAGAGAGCCACTCTTGCTAGGAAATTTCAAATATGAAAGGAAATATTCATATCAATAAAAAGCAAATTATTTTGATTCTCAGAAATAGCTTTCATCTTTAATAATGTGTCTTTCACTAAGAACAAATCTTAGACACAGCTCTGTTTTGCTAATACATATTATTAATATGAGGTTCCATGAAGAAGTTATATAGCATGCTAAGGACCATGAACACAAATGCTGGGCAACCTATTTGCTGTCTGTGGAAAACCAGAAGAAAGGCTTTAGAAATCATACTAATTTGGTTCTAGAGAATATAATGGTTGGTGAATACAACTACTTTTTGAAAGTGTGGCTTCACAAAGAGAGCTCTTATTAGACAAAACAGAAATGTGGCATTTGTAGACAGAAATAGGGCTGTGAATTACCTCTGGCTTTGATTCTGAATGGGAGGATCAATTTGATCCTCAATGAGACATTAGGAGTATTTAGGTAGCAAAGGTAACTCAAAATAAACAAAAGAAAAAGAATCCTCAACTAATTACTTATAATATAGCCCTATTAAAAAAGATCACAACTGTGAAGGTAGAAAAAGTATGTAATGTAGACAAACATGAGTTTGATTCATAGTACTACTTCTAAATGGCCTGGATGGTAAAGTAAGTATGGTGCTGACATGTGATAGCTATTGTATATAGAAACCACTATATTACATGACATGTATAAACAGTGACACTTATTAGGGTGTTGTTTTTATTTTGTAAGAACAGAAAAATTATGAAAAAAAGTTAGATGGATATAGGGAAAACTTATCCATATGATTTTGACTTTGCACTATTGCATTTTTTTCTTATGATACTTAAAAATCTTATCAAATACTACAGAATGCTGGGGGAGACATAGTGGCCGAAATACTATTGGCCATCTTTCTTCCAAAATAAAGAAATAGATTTTAAAACAATCTTTCTTCAGTAAAAGTGGTTTTTAATATAAGTTAATTACTGAAGACAAAATAATTTTGAGAGAAAGAAAAATGATTCTAAATATCACCTTCTCCCACCCCTAGGATTACAAAAGCAGTAAATGTTTCATGATGGAAAAAAAAATTTTAAACACGGATACACAAAAAGGAAAAATTAAAAGCTACACAGAGATAAGTTCAGTTAAACCAGGGAGTATATAATTCTAGGTTTATACAATATATAACATAGATAATTAATGTGTCTGTATCTATATAAATAAAAATGAGATATGCTGTATATACTATTTTGCAATCTGCTTTTCTAAATAAGAGATTAATATATTTTTAAATGAATATCAATCTACATTAATTTAATGAATTATTGACATGACATTATGTGAATATCTAATAATTTAGCTAACACATCTGCTGCAGAACTTTTAATTTATTCCCAACTCTTCACTATACAAAAGACAATACTGTGATGAACATATTTAGATCTGAATTTTACAATACACCCATGATTATTTCATTAAGTTAATTTCTAAAAAGTGGGATTGCAAGGTAAAAGGTAAACAAATTTTAAGAGATTTCTGAGACATATTGAAAAACTGACCATCAAGAAGACCATATCATTTCACACATCGACCAGCAATGTAACAGAATACCTATTTCCTAAAATATTTCTCACAAATGTTTAAAAATTTAAACATTTGATCTAGAATCCATTTTGATATGAGATAGTGAATTAACATTCTTCTTATCAAAATGAAAAGACAGTTGTGGCAACAGCAGTTGCTGAATGCCATCTTTATCAAATTTTTGGTTTATAATAATATTTCTATATTTGATAGAAAATAGACCACACTCATTAATTTCCTTTTGCATATTATTTAGCAAATATTGTCTACTTTTGCTGCCAATGAATTTTAGAATTATGTTAAGATACCCATCTCCACCAAATTCACTTGATATTAAGCACAATCAGATTAATTTTGGAAAAACTCTCCACAATATGAAATAGCCCCTTCCTAGAACACTGTATATATTAGTATACAATAAAGTCTCTTTTAAATAACTCTGTGACATGTTCTTCACATTGATCCTACATAGTGCTTGCTAAGTGTATTCATAGAAATCTTATATCTTCTGCCCCAATAATGAACAGGCCTTTTTTTTTTTTTTGCAATATATTTTCTATGACAATATTACTAACATAAGAGAAGTTGATTTGTTTTCTAAGTGGACCATCTAACCATCTAACCATTTTTCAGTCGATTTTCTGGGGTTATCCAACTATACAATATTAATCTATGAATAATATTAACATCATGGCTCATTACAATATTTATAATTTATTTCTTTTATATCTTATATATTTGATAGAACTTCTAAAGCAGTTATGAGAAGCATCTTCGTCATACTTCTGATGTTAATGCAAATAAATGTTTTTAGTGTTCCACTGGTAAATCTAAATATATAGATGTTCTTTATCATGTTATTGAAAGATTACATTGCTTATATTTTAGTAAATTGTTTTTTTAAAAATCAGGAACGCAGGATGGATGTTATACAATGCTTTTTTAGAATACATAAAGATGATCATATACTTTATCTCCTTCACCTATTTTTGTGATAAATTACATTAATAGATTCACTTAATATCACACCATCCTTGCATTTCTAGAATAAACCCTACATAGTAGTGCTATATTACTTTCTTAAAACTCTAGAACTGAGTTGCTAAATTTTTATTTTTTATCCATAACTGTGAGACTAGCTAATAGTATGCTACTTTTGTCTGGCTTTGGTACAAAGATGAAGCCACATGAAATGACTTAATTTTCTATAGGCCCATGCTCCCAGTAAACACTAAGAAAGGCAGTAAACAAACAAATAAGCAAAATATATATTTAAAAACATCAAAAGACTATGAAGCAATGAGGACTAAAGGGAATAAAACTGTATAGAAAGCAGACTCTTTAAAGGTGAGCTGAGGCTCTGTAGCTGTCCCTGGAGGTATCTGCCAAAGCTAGGCATTGAAACAGACTATGGATGTGGTTAGATTTGAAGGCTGGTTTTCTCCTCGAGACACTTTCTGAGATTTTAAGTGCTTTGAAAAGCAAAGTAAAGTTTCTGGCAGTCTACAGTGTTTCAGAGAAAAGACTTGTTAGTGGGAGAGTTCATGAGAATCTCAGGTGGGAGCTGAAAGCTCTTCAGGGGGTGGTGATTTGACACTGACAGTTTCCAAACACTTTTTTCCTGTCGGCAACTGTTAGGGTAAGACCGCTTCTCAAGACATTTGCCAAATTCTAAAATCGAAGAAGGCAGGAGGAGACTGAAATGATAAGGTTTCTCTGAAAAGTGGAAATTTCCACAGTCTGCTTGGTGCTGATGAGACAATGACATGTCAGGCTCACACTAAAAGCTCTGAAGGACCACAGCCTATTAACAGGGGCAAACCAAAGATGCACTATAATTGCAACCCAACCTTGGCCCAGATCAGTCTATTGATTAGATTAAGGCGATATGGCTCAAACAACAACCTATTCACTCATTCTACATACTTAGTAAAGGATTTGGTAGAGGATGATATCTCCCGCAACTTCTACATATTTTAAACACAATGTCTAATATCAACCAAAAAACAGTAAGAAGAGATAGGACCACATTACTGATAACCAAGAAAAAAAGAAATCAGAAACAAATCCACCAATATGTAGGTGAACTATACATTAGCATTAGTAAACAACTTTAAAATGACTGTGATTAATACGCTTAAGAAAATAGAGAAAAGATAAACAAATTAGATAAAAAGATGGAGAATTTCATCAGAGAATTTGAGGTTATAAAAAAATTAAATGGACATTCTAGAACTAAAATATACATATCTGAAATGCTAACTCCTAAGTTTCTCTTCTTTTTCTACCAAGGCATTCATTATGTATTTGCACTAATTCCCCTTAAGTTAGAAAGAATATAAGTAGATGTAATATTAGTGACCATTTTCAAAATAAACAAAATGCAAAAGTCAATGAAAAAATAATGGAAGATGTCTTTAAACTTGTTAAGGGATGATAATTATAGTGTGAGCTTTTATATCCTGAAGAGCTTCCTAATAAAAGCAGAAACAAATATCTTTCACCAAAATAAATTTTAAAAGAACTTTTTTCTGTATGATGAGCAAAGTAAAAGCAATTGTCACTTACAGGAAGGTGTGTGAATACAGCAAAGGTGCTACGTAGAAAGGCAATGAGGTCTACTAGGTAGTCACTAGCTTTGTTGCCCAAATCTCCTGTCATCCAGTCATAGTCGGCCAGCTGTAGAAACTGGTCAATCTTCTGATTTAAGTTGGTATAAATCTCTTCTTCAGCTGCATGTCTGGCATCCTGTGAAATATGAAATTTTAAAAATCATTCAGAATTCCAGTGTAAGCAAAGCAGAAATTTCTGCTTGGAGACATCCACACAAATTTACTAGGTAACAGAGTTGGAAATATTAAGTAATATCATAGTCTCCACGGATTTTTCTTTTTTCAAAAGCGCAGTGGAGTCTTCTATTTTTGTATCTTCAAAACAAACTATTATTTTGCTTCACCAAATAGAGAAACTGGCACTGTCCTCAGCTATCTATGTACATCCTTTTGAACTTTCTTGTCTACAGCCATATCACCCTGAACGTGCCTGATCTCGTCTGATCTCGGAAGCTAAGCAGGGTCGGGCCCAGTTAGTACTTGAAGGGGAGACCACCTAGGAAGACCAGGTGCTGTAGGCATTTAAAAATTTTTTTAAAAATAATTTTCTTATCTCTGTTCAAAACTACATTTACTCTCAGGATTCTATTCTCTCTCATCTCTTCTGAATCTCCAAGAACCTCCCTTCCTGTATGTAATACTACCCTCTCTATTATCTCCTGGCCTCTTTGCTTTGCTTATTATAAGTATTCTGAGGTTCTGACTTTTCAGATTAGTTTCTTTTACTTAGCAATGTGCATTTAGGCTTTCTCCATGTTTTTTCATGGCTTGATAGTTCATTCCTTTTCATCACTGAATAATATTCCATTATCTGGATGTATTAGAGTTTGTTTACCCATTCACCTAATGAAAGACATCTTGGTAGCTTCCAAGTTTTGGCAATTAAGAATAAAAGTGCACTGAACATTCATGTGTAAGTTGTGTGGCTTAACTTTTAACCCACTTGGGTAATATCAAGGAGCATAACTAGTAAATTGCACGGTAAGACTATGTTTAGCCTTGTAAGAAACTGACAAATGGTCTTCCAAAATAGCATTACCGTTTTGTATTAGCAATGAATGAGAGTTGCTGTTGCTCCAACATTTCATATTGTCAGTCATTGTAATAGTTGTGTAGTGGTATCTCATTATTCTTTTAATTTAAAATTCCCTCTTCATCTTGGGTGAGGTATCTGTTCATATCTTTTGCTCATTTTTAAATTGGGTTGTTTGTTTACTTGTTGAGTTTTACCAGTTCTTTGTATATTTTGGATATAAATCCTTTATTAGATATGCATTTTACAAATATTTCTTCCAATGTGTGGCTTCTCTTTTCATTTTCTTTCCCAAAGTAGAAATTCTTTGTTTGAATGAAGCCCAACACATTTTCTTTGATGGATCATATTTTTGGTGTTTTATCTAAAATGTCATAGCCAAATGTAACGTCACCGAGAGTTTCCCTTATGTTATTTTCTAGGAGTTTTATAGCTTTGTGTTTACATGTAAGTCTGTAATCCATTTTGAATTAATTTTTGTGAAAAGTGTAAAATCTGTGTGTAGATTCATTTTTTCTTTTTCTGCATGTGGATGTCTAGATGTTCCAATACCACTTATTGAAAAGACCTTCTTTTAACCATTAAATTGACTTCACTCCTTGTCAACGGTTTTTTGTGGTTGTGTGGGTTTATTTCTGGGCTCCCTAATCTGTCTCCTTGATCTGATTATCTATTCTTTGGCTGATACCATACTCTTGATTATTGTAGCTTTACAGTAAGTCTTGGAAGTCAGATAGTGTTAAACCTCCAATGTTCTTCTTTTCCTTCAAAGATTGAGATTGTGTTAAATCTATAGATCAAGTTGGGAAGAACCGATATCTTGATAAAATATTGAGTGTACCTATCCATAAATATGGAACATATCTCTATTCATTTAGATCTTTCTTCTTTGATTTTTTCATCAGAGTTTTATAACTTTCTTCACACGGACCTTGTTTATTTTGTTCCAGTTAAAACTATTCCTCTCTTTTCTATGTTAATATAAAAAATACTGTGTTTTTAATTGCAAATTCCAGTTGTTCACTACTGGTATAATAAGAAAGCAAATGACTTTTGTATATTAGCCTTGTATCCTAAACCTTACTATATTTACTTATTACTTCTCATGGGTTTTTTTTTCTGTTGTTGTCATTAATTCTTTCATATTTTCTACTTAAACTATCATGTCATATGCAAACGGTTTTATTTCTACCTTCGTAATCTGTAAATCTTTTATTTCCTGCCTTATTGGATGTTGATTAGAAGTGGTAGAGAGCGTAGCCTTCCCTTTCACTTGATTTTAGCAGGAAAGCTTCTAGTTTCTCACCATCAAATATGTTAGCTATAAAACTTCCACAGATGTTCTTTACCAAGTTTAGGAAGTTCCCACTCCATTCTTGTTTGCTGAAAGGTTTTTTTCATAAATAGGTATTGGGTTTTGTCAAATGCTTTTTTTTCTGCATCTACTGATATGATTGTATGATTTATCTTCTTTAGCCCCTTGATGTGATAGAGTATATTAATTAATTTTTGAATGCTGAATGAGCTTTGCAGACCTGGAATAAATCCCACTTGGTCATAATGTACAAGTGACCCTTGAACTGTGCAGGTCCACTTATATAAGTATATTTTTCAAAAACTACTAGAAATATATTTTCTCTTCCTTATGATTTTAAAGATATTTTCTGTTTTCTAGCTTACTTTATTGTAAGAATACAGTATATAATACATATACAAAATATATGTTAATTGACTTTGTTGTCAGTAAGGTTTCTGGTCAAAAGTAGGCTATTAATAGTTAAGTTTTTGGTGAGTCAAAAGTTATACGCAGATTTTCGACCATGAAAGATGTCAGCATTCATAACCCCCACAGTGTTCAAGGGTCAAATGTATATTCTTCAGACATGTTATATTTGATTTGCTAATATTTTATTGAGTATTTTTACATCTATATTCATGAGAGACATTGGTCTGTTATTTTTCCTTTCTTATAATGTTTAAATGATATTAAGGTAATCCTGGCCTCAAACAATGAGTTAGGAAGTATTCCCTCTACTTCTATTTTCTGGAAAACTTTTCTATAGAGAAATGGTATAATTTCTTCCTTAAATATTCGGTAGATTTTTTTTTTTCAGCTTTTTAGGGTCTTATTGACAAAACTGTAAGATATTTAAAATATACAATGTGATGAGTAGATATAGGTATACACTGTAACAGGGTTCCCCATATCAAGTTAATTAACACATCCAGCACACTACATATATTCACTATTGAACTATGGGGATAGAGTTATTCACGATACTCCTTAATTACTCTTTTATTGTCCATGGAATCAGTAGTGATAGCTTCTCTTTCTATTATGATATTGGTAATTGTGTCTTTCCTCTTTTATTCTTAGTTAGCTTGGCCCAAGGTTTATTAATTTTATTGATCTTTCTAAGAATCAGCATTTGGTTTCATCAATTTTCTCTCCTGATTATCTGTTTTCATTATCTGTTTCCGCTCTAATTTTAATTTTATTTTTTTCTGATGACTTTGGATTTCAATTGCTCTACTTTTTCTAGTTTTCTAAGGTTGAAGCTTAGACTATTGATTTTAGAAATTGATCCTTTTCTAATATATGCAATTAAGGCTATACATTTCCCTCCAAGCACTGTTTTCACTGATGGCACAAATTCTGATACATTGTTTTATTTTCATTTAAGTTAAAGTACTTTTAAATTTCTCTTGAGACTTTTTCTTTGATTCATGTGTTATTTTGAAGTATGTTGGTTAATCTCCAAATATTTGGGGAATTTTCTGCTTTCTGAGATTTATTTCCATAATTTAATTATGTGGTCTGAGAGCAAGTTTTGTATAATTTCTATTCTTTAAAATTTGTTAAAGTGTGTATTACCCAGAACATGGTCTGTTTTGGTGAATGTTCTTAAGAGCTTGAGAAGAATGTGTATTTGTTATTGTTAGACAAAGTATTCTATAAATGTCAATTTGATCCAGTTGAATACCATTCAGTTCAACTATATTCTTACTGATTTTCTGTCTCCTGGATCTGTTAGAGGGGTTTACTAAGAGATTTTGGCAGGAAGAGCTGTTGACTTATAATTACCTTATTAGTATCTTTTTAAGTACTCATATATTTTTCTCATTTGATCTATTAGTGAATAATTTAAAACAATTTTAGAGCACTAATCATCCTTGCTTTCTTATCTTTAATTTTATCCCTACTTTCTATGTACTTAATAGAAAGTTTTTTTGATATTTTATTATGACTTCTACATCAATATTTACTTTTAATTGTTCTAATTATATTTTGTGGTTTCTGTTATTTGAATCATTGTTATATTGACTTTGCAAAAATTAACTGAGATATTTTCCTTTTTCTCTGTGATCTGGAATAGTTTAAATTATATAAAAATTTCTGTTTCTAAATGAATTTACTGATGAAACCATGTAGATTTGCCCAATTTTAAGAAGTCTTTAATAACTTTCCATTTTTTTCATAGCTATTAGTAAATATTCTTCTTAAATCACTTTTAAGCACATATTTTCCTATAGAGCCTGAAATTTATTAACACAGAGTTAAACAAAGTATTCTAGGTATTTAATTTCCACTGATTATGAATTTCAAGTAATTGTAATTTATTTATTTATTCTCTTTTCTTC